GCAAACCATCTAGTTCAACCCCCTACCCACAATGATCCAAAAATCGCTCTCAAGCCACCACGTTCTTTTTGCACGCTTAGTAGTACGGAGCGACCGCTCCTATAGTGACCGCGTCCTTGATAGCGATACCCTTTGCTCCGTTCGTAGCGTCGTAGTAAGGCCAGGGTCGCCCCGTTCGGTTCGCGTCCCGTTCGGTGTGGGGTCCCAGCTTGTGCTCGCGCGTCCCAGGCTTGCACCAAGTCCAAGCGACCTTTGAAGTCCATCCGCGCCTTGGTTGGAACAGGTCGAGGCCAGAGGCGGATGGCATACAGGTCGAGGCCAGGGGCGGATGGCATATCCAACAAGAAGGAACATGGTGGAATACACCGAGAAACGCTTAGGGGAAGGGCCAGGAAACATCCGGACGCTGAAAAGCGCCCGAAGTAGACCTTCCCGAAGTAGGCAGGTTTGATTCAACGTCCATCCGGAACATATCCGGTCCGAATGGGATGGGATGGGATCCAATTCTTGGGTGCAAAATGGATGTCTCAGGTGACCAAACATCTAGCAATTGGTTTCGAACGGAGCTCCACTGAACGTGCCTTTACCCGAACGCCTTTCGCCCAGCGCCGCGCATCGTCCAGCGCTCCAGGTGAGCGCTTGAAGTCCAAAGAGGGGCGCTTGCGAGGGACGCTCATGGGCAAGCGCGCCGGGGGACCCAGAGAGGAGACTAGGGCTACACATGAGGGGCACAAAAATTGTATCTCAATATTATGAGTGTCGTATTTTGAAAAGGAGACACCCGTAAACTACCCCCAACCAACTTTCCTTCTTCCACGGGGTCGATCTGGAAAGTTTGCCCTATATTTTTATACACACCCATATATTGGCACTGAGGGGTGTGTAAGCGGCACTGAAGAAAATGTGAGGACGCTGAGTTTGTTCATCTTTTTGCAGATTTGAATCATGGCCCGCAGTAGAACGGCACCTCGAATGTTCTCAGAGCTGGACACGTTCAAAACATTTTAAAAAAAGAGAAGACAGGTCGGTCATTAGCGACCACCTTCCAAGTCGAAACCGCCTTAAATATATTGTTTGGCCCTTTCAACCGGCCGCTTTCGTTTGTGGCTTAGCCGAACGAACACCTGGGCGCGGAACCGCCCGTCCAAGAAACCGAACTGAAGACGGCACCGTCCCAGGTGGACTTTTGTGCTCGGAGTGTCATCGGTGGCGATCCGAACCTGGATACGGAACAGGTGGGTGTGCCAAGGCCCGGTGGCGGCACAGGCGGCGATGCGCGCGGCGACTTGCCACTTGCCACCTGATGGTGGCAGATGGCAAGAGGTTCAGGTTGGTTCAGGGCTTCGAGAAGCCGCAAAATGGATGCCCAGTGTTGGGGATGGGGTAGGGGTCACCACAATTGCCGACGTTTGCCGTCTGACTCCAGTCTGTTCAAGGTGCCGCTGCAAATGGAACCGAAAATACCAAGACCACCGAATTGGTGTCCAATCTCGAGATCCCCAACGAGTGTGGGGTAGTGATGGGTAGTTCATTGGACACCCATTGGATGGTCATGTACTGTATTGGTTGTGGGTTTAGGAAACGAGTTTGTTCCGGTTCTTGTGTTCCCTTTGAATGCCGATTGGACCGAACCCCCGAGCCCTGTCCTGGGAACTGTGGCCTCTGGATTGGAGGCCCAGCGACAAACAGGCATAGACACCGGTGTACCTGGTCAGGACATCATCATGACTTCTCCCACGACAGTACTATGACAGTATTATATGGACTGCGTACTGTGTTATAAGAAAATGCATGAACTTTCTAAATCTGATGTTTCTATATGTTTCTAAATAGCATCTTCACAGAAATCCAGGGGCCCCGCAGGTTCACCTCCAGGAGTCTCTTCCTCACTCCTCGCGCATCGAAACCATCGTTCGCTTCGGACCTCGTTGTGCTCACCACATCGCCAGGTCCATCGCCTTGAATCTGAGCTTCCCCGAGCGGGTCACGCCGTTGCCCGAAGGAAGTTGGGTGGGCCCCACACTGGGAACCGGTTGGGAGGATGCGGACCATGCGGAACTCGCTGAAGGGGGGCTTGAATTCGGGTGGCCAAAGGCCCTTCCGGGCCCTTTCAACAATTGTCTGAAACACTGCCGGGTTCAATCTTTGGAACTGGTTAAAATCTATAGGGACCACATGTCCTTCCAGACCAAGTCTAGGGTCAGGAGATTGTTCTTGTTGTTACGGATGTTCAGGTGCGGTGAATCGCCCAGGGTGAAAAACCCTCCACTGGTTCTGCGCCCACTGGACCTGTGTGGAAGACAGGAAGACAGCTGATTCAGAATTCAATCAAGGTCACACTTGGTCAGGGTGTAAATCGGAGAAGGGACAGATGTCCGCCGGGTGACTGCAAAAAAAACAGCAACAAGTAAGTGTCATTAGCCGATGGAGGGATGCAGCATGATGCAGCTTTTGGAAACCCGAAAGGTAGTTTTGTGGTCTCAGTCAGAGAAGAAGAGAGCAACAACTGAACTGAACCTCTCAAAACCATGCAATTTTGTGGGATTCTTGTGGAAGCTATCGAGAAAGGGACAAGTCTTCCGGAACATAATGAAAGCGGCATCCAAAATCAAGCCCGGATGTTCCTGGGCTCGGTGACCTTTAGACTCTTTAGACTCCAAGCTCGGTGACGCTTGAGTTCGGGCGGCTTGGCCTGGCGCCAGACGCCTGAGGCTGAATGTCGCTCACATGAAGAAGCTGGTGGTGAACGGTCCCATCGACCACCCGGGCGCCAGGTCGGGTTTGGGTCGGACGCGAGGTGGGTTGGAGTCGGTTTTTGTCTTTGTCAAAGTTCAGTGGTGGCTGCCATGGGCCCATGGCTGGTGTTTTTGTACTGCTAGCGATGTGAAGGAGATGGGATGGTATTAGCTTTCAGATGCTTTCAGAATCTTTCAGATATTTGCTTTCGGATGCGGATAAATTTTTTATCGAATGCATAGTTTGGGAAACATGCTGTGTAAGCCTCTTGAATCATGCGGCTCAGATCGGCTCAGTAAATTTTTTCACGTTCCTTCAAAGAACCTCGCATGCAGCTCCCCAGCCAGGAAAAGAGGTGTCCTTTTTTTACCCTTTTCTGAACTCTGGGTGCCCAAGTGCTTCTTGTTTCCAAAAGCAAGTTCTGGCACAGGTTAGGAGTTCCATGTCGGGAGAATTTTTTGACCCGTGTGAGATAAGTGAGTGGGCACTGCACAGCTACATATCCCTACCCTCCAACCATCTCTTTGAAGCCCTTCAACAACCACCTCGATGTCAGCCGATGCCATCAACGCTTTCTCAGTCTCCGTGACATGAAACATTCGCCGCGGCCGTGAATGGCCCAGCTCGATCGTGGATCATGGCATAGTGGGAAAACAATGGAAAAACACCGAGTATGAGTAACCCCAATTACGGGTGACGGAATATGTCCAACTCATAGTCTGAAAGACGCTGAGTCTTTCTTTGCAAAGCCGGATTCAGAAAGTGCACGGACAGTCAGGACGGTAGAGACCGCTGGAATGAAAAGATATTGTTCGATCAACATTTTACTCAGGAAAACGTCAGGTCAGAAACATGCCAATTTGTCCGGTGTGTGCAAAAGAAGCACTGGAAACACCTCGAAGGCACTTCATTACCCTAGAGTCTCAATTGGAATTCTCAGTCACCATTGCAGGTGGGTACCAAGCTCTACAACAACTTCAGCAGCACTACCAAGGAAAACATGTTTCGACATCACAAGAGAATGAGCGGAAGTGTAGAACCATCATTCTGAAAGCAACATGGAACGCAAGATCTTTCACGTGTCCGTGTGGAACCTTCTTCGAACGTCGCTGTGCGGATGGGAAAAGCCAAGAAGGGCAAGGCCAAGGCCAAGCCCAAGCACCGACCCTCCGCAGATCGAGGCGACCGATGGGAGGGAGGTCGAGGTCGCGATGCTGCTGCCTGGGACATGGGACATGGGTTGACGAAAGATAACCCAAATAATTGAAAAAACAATTGGAACACATTGGACAAAATTGAGCACGATCAATATGAATATGTATTCAATAATTTAACATTTCTAGCATGTTTTTTTGTCTTTTTTTGGGAGTGCTTGCAGATGTAGGAATCAATGCAGCAGCGCTTGCAGATGTAGGCTGCCACAAACTACGCCTCACCAACTTTGGTTCTTCACTGGCCCCACCTCAACCCACCAACTACCAGGACCCTTAGTGTTGGGTCACCAATAGGCTACCCTACACTACGTAGGGATCTGCATTGGACACTGGACACCCATCGTCGAATGGTCCAACTAGACTCACTAGACCGAGGCCGTGCTGGTCACGGCGAGGACGATGAGCCTCTCGTAGGAGATGAGGAGCGGCGGGCCGAACGCCGAACGCCGGTTCGCGCAGCTGTCGGTCGTTCGCTGTTGTGGAATCTTCTTAGTTGCCTTGCCATGGTGGGGTGTGAAGAGGATATGACCTGTACCGACCTGTACCCCTGTACTCGTACGTTTTTTGGTTCAAGTCCATGTTTGTACAGGAGCCTGTGAAGCAGTGGGGTAGGGTGTTTCAGCGGTACTTTTTGAGACTGATTTCAAACAAGCGCAAATGAAGAAACATAAAGATGGGGTCGTCATGACCATCACGACCTGCAGCTAGGTCGTGGCCGTGGCCATTGGGTTTTACATGGTTTTGCAATGTCTTAGTATGTTCTCCTTCTATCACAGCTCCATGAGGGGCTCATCAATTTTTCTCTCGAACTTTGTGAGTGGGTCCAATTGCAGTTGTTCATAAGAGAGAATGGTCACCAATTGAAAAGCCTTCCAATCAGTGTCAGACATCAACAAGCCCTACGCCCGGCAGCGCCCACTTTCCAAATCTAACCAACCGATGCTCAAAATTCACATTGCACACTTTCCAAATGACACTACAAGTGTGTCCGACCTCCCCAATTTGTTCGTGCTTTGTGATCGACAGGACTGGCTGGCGCTGCAGCGCAGCATGCTGGAAGAGTTTGCCGCCAAGAAGGAGTCCGCCGAGGCCTTGCCAGGTCAGTCATGTAGATCACATTTGTCATGCCTACAGCTTCCTATGTGCATAGACTGTTTCGGATTGGATTGTGAATCTGAACATGTTCACCGTGCTGCCATGCTGAATACACCAACAATGGTTTGTTCATGTTTCTTCAAGTCGCAAGAAACACAAAGAAACGACTGTCCTGCTGAACACTTGTTTCTCTTTTCTTGAACATTAGTTTTATAACCTTTTGTAATATCGTTTGATGACTCAGAACACAATTCTTTTGATTGCAAACGTCGGAGTTTCTTGAGACACTGCAAGGCCGCTGAGACGTGCATGCCCACCGAGGAGGGCGGGACAGAAGCGACGGCGAGTAGCGACGGAGATGTCTTCCAAGTGCGGCGGATCGATTTCCTCGGGGAGGAGGCCGGGGAAGCCACTGGGGCCGTTCAACGGGGCTGGGAAGTGGTGAGAGCAGGTGAGGCGTGGGGGTCACGAGATTTGGAGCTTCAAGACAGTCTGGTGTGCTAAAAAGGCCACATGAAGACGAAGAACTTAGTTCCAGCGCCCAAAGCCTGTGCATCTAGTCATAGACCTGCTGGTTGACCTCAATAGAACCACGTCGTGTGGACTTCATTGGATGTTGTTAGTCTTCTTCCAATCCGTTGGAAAGCGATAGGTTACTTAAGGTTACTTACTAAATCCATTGACAAGACTTTCGTGAACAAGTAATTTTGACCCCCACCACAAAACGCAAAATGCATGATGCTCATGTTCACTCCCCACCACTGCCACGCCTTACCCAAAATCAAGAGAGCGCCAATGAATGGAATGCAGATTAATTTAGGTATTGGCTATGGTATGACTTGTGACATTATGATTCCTTCCTTACTACCACTGTTGAAGCTATGCAGTCTGATCAACCAACCTTTTTCAAGTAAATCCTGGGCAGCCAGTACTGGTGGAAACTCAGTGGGTTTCTATACCGGGTTTTTGACATGCTCCCCATAGTCACTAAGTGAGACTAGTCCATCAGAATCTGGAAAACCTTGGCTCAGTCACGTCGATGGTTTCAGTGCAGGTGCCGATCTTACTGCAGAACCGGAACGGCCCCTGTGCGCTCTTGGCCATTGCCAATGGTCTCTTGCTCCTCAGCCGAGTCTGCTTCCCCGTGCATAGGGACGGTGTGGACGATGTGGACGGAGGAGCAGTTGGGCGGGTCGAGGTTGTGCCGTGAAGACCACGAAAAAGGGTCTCTTTTGGGAAGGGACCAGTGCAGCCTTTGGGCCCTGAGGAACCTCGGATCAATAGTAATAGCGACCATGTCACTATTGCATTCAATCGCGCACCGTGTGTTCCGGTGTTCAGTGGATGAGTAGCAGCAAGGTCGCCCGACAGATCCTGTGTTCTTCTGTTTTCATGTATAATATAGGTGTTAATGGTTAGATCAGTGAACAAAACTTCATGTAGAAGCAGGGAGGGTCCCTGTGGAGAAACGAAGACACAGCACACTCACACCATCAACCAAGCACTTTTGTCTAAAATGATTTCAAGACGGAAGAAAACACCACCTGTTCCATCTTAGACTGCGATGTTCTGAACCCTAATCCATCCGGGATTGACCGGATACGTCCCATGGTCAGCTGGACACGTCATGGGTGTTGATGGCGGAACGCTCCGGTGACCGGAACTCTCGTCCCGAGGCTTCGAGGCGCCTGGAATTTGGGGCAGAGGGAGACGAGCATCAGTTCCTTGGGCCCAGACATCGGTTTTGTTCCGACAGGGTTCGGAGTTGCTGCCTTTGACATGAGAAGGGAGGTGCGAAGTAGGAAGGAAGGAATTGCATCCCATTGTGGGTTTGGGTGAGTTTGTTTTTTTTTATCGCGGAAAAAACACAGGGTGGGGAGACCTGAGGTTCGGCAACGATGAGATGTTTTTCTTTTTCGAACATCGACCTCTCAGCTGACCAAAGGACATTGGGCCAGGAGGTTGGCCTAGGAGTATACTGCACACTCATGTAGGAAGTCCACCGCCTTAATCTGTTTCTTTCGGTCAATGAGTCTAAGATCAAAAGGATCTATACCCGGACCATCCGCTTTGGGGACACCCGACATGGGCTCCTTCCACTGAAGGGATCTGTGTGGATCACCCGAACAGGATGGTCTTAGTGCATCTGAAACTGGAGCAAAACCAGTGGTGTCTTTGGTGATTCGTTATGGTCAAGCCTTGGTTAATTAGACCCGTCAAGGAAACCGGTCATTTGACCATACCTTTAGAATGGGGCACAATATGACTCAAACATGTTCAAAGTAATTCTGAAATCTATTCTTGATAGTAGTTGTCCCAGACAGTAACCAACATCCAACTTTCCAACCACTATCTTTTTGGAATTCTGGCGAATGCCTCAAAAGGTCCTGGCCTCGCCAAAAGCATGGAAAACCCATGGTGCGCATGGTTTAGTTCACGTGGCTCCGGAGCGTGGAACCACAGTGCAAAGTCTTCTTCTTCTTCTTCCTCTTATACTTCTATTAACATCCCTGTAAACATTTCATCCATATGATCTGTCCCCCCAGGCTCCTGCATAAAACGGTTCTACGAACAACATGACTCTGTTAAAGAGACTCCCAAAGTGGAGGGGCACTCAATTTATGGACCGCCCTTTTTGGGTGGACGCCTATCCATTCTATGGAAAGGCAATCTTCCTACTATAATCTCAGATCAAGCGCTGCTTCAGGTGCTGGACTCCAGCCATTCTATAAGCACAGCATTCTTGAAACAACAAATAACCATTTGGCTCAATGAAAGGCGCAGAAAATAACACATCTAAGCCATTCTGAGCCAGGAAAGAGTGGCACAGGAACCACTGGCCAAGCAAAAATAGTAATCAACAAAGAACATAATTTCGGTAGCTTACTGGTCATGAAATGTCCCAGTGGAGCGCCGAGACATTGTGTTGTTGGAATTTCTGTTGTTCTGAGATGCTGGTTATGGTTGGGTCTATTTTAGGTTGTAGGCGTGCAAAGGTGTCATTTTGGTTGGTTTTGGTCGGTCTGGGCCCCCCATTCTATAGTGAGCTGGCGTCCATCCTGTTAGCTGGGGTAATCCATTTTGTTGCTATAGAATGTGGCGCCCGGACCGACCATGGGAATTTCTTGGAAGATCTATTACCTAATAATTACTACTATTATTGCTACTTCGTCCTTTTATTACTACTATTGTCTTCTTGTTCTGTCGAACAGCTTGCCTGTTGCCTTCCTTTTTTTCCCTCTTGCAGTTGCCATCCACACGTGTTTTTTATACTGCAAACTGCACCTCATGATGAATTTGCTTCACATGCATTTGCCCTAGTATTTGACGACGTCTTGGACCATCTCTTCAATTCCTCACCTGACTAGAAACCGCTCCACACATTCATCAAGGCGACCTTCCGCTCCGTCACTTCTTGGACTCAATTCAAAGATACCGGGAGAGAACACCCACAAAACCCAGGGCAGAACTGCGCTTCCCCCGCACATGAGCCGCTTATAACCCACTGGTCTCGCGGCCCCGCGCCGGGTCTGCGGCCGCGGTTCGGCTCGTCGCTCGAGGATCCGCGGATTCCGCGGAACCCGCTTTCGGCCGCGACCGAGGTAGTCGCGATTTGCTGGGCCGCTTGGGTTTCCTGTGTGACGAGCTCAACTTCAAGGCCATGCAGGACCGGTGGGGTTTCCACCGCTCCGCCGAGCCGAGAAGCGGACGAAGCGGCGCCGATTTGGCGGCCGGTGTGGGATGGTGGCGAGCGAGTGATTCTGCTCAGTTGACTCGGCTGTCTATCACAGGATGATGCAATGATGCAGGAAGGAACAAACAAGCGAACCGAGCAAGTCTCCAATTCGGTCATTTCATGTCAGTTCTGCTTCGTGTCAACCATCGGGTGCTTCTTTTTGGTCTCTGTAACTAGACAGATCAGATGGAGTGAAGGTAAAGAAAGGTCGGAACATGGCAGAACAAACTGCCCGGATGAAAGATGTACTGTACGGGTTATTACCGATTCGACTCGATGCATCATCAATTGTTTGTTTGCCCCCCTTATAAGCTTCAACAACCACCCTGACTTCGGCGCAGGAAGACTTCACTCTGGCACAGAAGGTGCGAGACGTCATCAGTTGCAAGGCCGCATCTTTTGGGAAAGTCGAACTGGTCTTCATGGGACTTACAGTGGAAGAACCGGAGTCTAAGGTCTAAGCGTCCTCTTGTTGCTAAACCTCCGAAGCAGCGCCGCCTGGCCGAGAGAATCCCTCGAACCTCGAACCTCTTCGAGGCAGTGCAGATTTCACACCGATCAGTGAGACCGAAGGGTCATAAGATGCCACAAATTTTGGAGAAAAATTCTTGGTACAACGCTTCAAAGGACCAAGGGATACCAAGGGCCCAAGACTCCCTACCTAGGGCCCAATCACCACCGATTTCACCGTCTGATTTCTCCTGAAAAAGTACAAGGCCCACAGGATCTGACATGTCGAAGATGAAGATGGATCCTGAAAATGGACCTTTGGAAGACTAGTGGACCCTCCGGTTTCCAGCTTCCATGTTCCTCTTCGGCGATTCAATGGACTAGGAGTGCCGGATTCAACCCACTGCCCAGCTGACAGGACAAATTCTCATCTCATCAGAGTGGGTTAGTCTCACCCAAGCTGATTGGGTTGGGCACTAAGAACCTCAACATCCATTACGTAAGATCATGTCTTTGTCACCTTCTAAGAACACCATCCGCATGTTCGCAAGCCCCGACGGACGAGCCATATGTGGATTCCCAGGAGGGCGCCTTCTGAGAAGGTGGCAGTCCCTACAGGGTGATCCCCCAATGGCAACGCTGGCCCTTCGCGCCTGCAAATGACGCTTCTTTGCCAACAAAAAACATCATCTGAGTCATAATCCCCAAGACAGACCTCCCTGTGGTGGTTGGTGGTGTTGGATTTGATGCGCAAGTGAGGTTCCCTGCCAAAGCTCTTGGACGGTTTACTGGTGCCTCAGCCCGTTTTGGAGCCCGTGGAGCTCGTGGAGGGTGAACGCTTGTGGTGAACCCGCAGGGAGACTGGTCTTTTGGAGGAATGGTCAAGATGAAGACGTGGGAAACCTGAAACCTCAGATCTGGGGATCCAATTGACAAAAGATGGCAGTGATGAAAGTGGCAAGGACCACTGGAACTTTGGAGGCCCAGAAAGCGGGCGTCTTTGTCTTCAAGGCTGACTTAGGACATAGGACGCGACCATGGATTGTTGCCTTTGTGTTCTGTGAGGCGAGTTGGTGTACTAGAGTGGGGGCTCACTTGGGTCATAAAACACTTGCAATGTGTTCCGCCCTCAAGGGCCGGATGACTCTGTCACTCTGACAGCAATGGCCTCCACCCTAGTAGCGATCGCCTCCAACCTACATGGAGCCAGTGTATTAGGTATGTCAGTAGCAATGACTTACTAGCCATCAATCCCTTTTGGTGTGACAATCCGACCATCCTTAGATAGAGCTCTAGGATGCATAATAATTATGGGGATTCGTTGCACAGATTATATACATGGATGTTCCGAATGTTCCCCAACGAGTTGAAATGCTCAGTTTTTTACACCCATTTTGGGTAGACAGTTGCAGACATTGTGCGGTCGTGCCTGGGAAAGTATAACTACTGTAGATCGGGCGAGAGCTTTCAATGGTCCTTTTTGCAGGTGCCATTCAAACCAGATAGAACATGATAGAAGTACTCTTCTCCAGGATGTTTCGAAATGATAAAGTTCCCCCATGAAAATGACAAGACAATTATTTGTTTTCATGTGTTTTCACTTTAGTTGAAATTTGGAGACTTTGAATTTCTGTAGGATGTTGCAAGATTATGACGGTTTTCATCAGAAGATGACCCCTGGGCACCCAGGTCAACTGCGACTTTGGTGCGTGCGGCTCTTTCGAGGACTCTTCCAGCCACCCGCTCACGGAACTCATCGCCACGGGAAGCTCACGATGATCTACTAGCAAAAATGGCCTCCAACCTCATAGCGATGGCCACCTAGGAGCTTCTTGCTACGTTCGTAGCTTCTTGTTGCTACTTTCTGAAAATCAACCAGGAGACGGATGCAAATTTGTTGCCTAGTTCGAGAAACCCGATTCCTTGGTTTTCCAGCTTCGCAGAGCTTAGCTACCAGGCTGCTGCTCTCCCCACACAGTCCGATTCGGTCGAACGAAGGATGTCCGGGACAGTCTTAGATGTTCATCAGCTGGTTCATCGAGTGTGCATGAAAGGCCTCCATCCCCGAGAAGATTAACTTAGAACATATTAGAACCTGAACATATCTGAAATTGAACCTCTGGAAGACTAGCTGACCCTCCACAAACCAGTGGCTTTCAGATTCCATGTTGTGTAGGTGAAAGGCATTATATTCGCTGCCCGCTTCACTCCCGGTCAGGCGATTCTCGCCATGTTCTTTTCCATTTTTTCCACCAGGGTGGTTGAGATGACAGTTGCAGGGGTATTTTGTACATGAGGGTACAAGGTTTCACACTGATTTGTTCGTATCTTCGGCTGAGTCAGCTGAGGACAATTTCCTCCACAAAAAGTGGTCGAGTGTCCCATGGAAACCCCTTTTTGCTTCCTCGGCCACTCTTTCAAAGGTGCTTCCCTCAACCGTCCTCAACCCCATGATATTGTTTTATGAAAGCTCTTCTTTTGGGCACAAAAATTGGCCGGCTCAGGTCGAGGACTCTTTGAACTCTTTCGGCTGCAGCTCTTCCACGTTTGGGTCGACCTCGAGGTCCGAGCGAGCGTTGCGCTTCAGGTCCGGCTGAGGTGGAGCAGGTGTCAGTTGGACAACCTTAAGCAGCGTCTCCTTTCTAGAAAGGAGTGAGTCAGGAGAGAACATGTCGTATGTTTGTTTTCAATCACACTCCCAGGTTTCTGCAGTCAAGGTCATGGTTGCTTCAATCAGCCCTTGGGCACTGTCCAGGTGCACAAAGTGGTACCGACGTGGAATGATTTGAGCCCCAGCAGCAGCGCAGCAGCTCATGGCAGGGTTGGCAGGATCAACGTCTAAGAAGATGCAACGTCACTGTTCAAATGCAAACAACACCAGAAATCGGTCAGTGACTAGTTAGGCCCATGCTTGAACACGGAACTTGAACGGGGACAAACCGACAATCCAACGACAGGCCGATGTTCCATGTGAATCTGAGATGCTTCTCCATTGAGTGACTTCTCCGTAGCTTCACTCACCAACTCTGTTTGGCCTTGGCGCCAGCCGCCTGAAACTTTGAACCAATGCCTCATGGTGTTGCTTTGAACCAATCCAAAGCAATTCATCCAAATTTTAAAAAAGAAACGCAGCGGCCCAGTTCTCGGCCGAGCAACCGAGGATGGACTTGTTAGCCAACTCAGCGGAGCTGCGAGCTGAGGAGCGGAACCGCGTCCGGTGGCAATGTCCCGCGGGACATCCGCGGGAATGGAGGGCTGGGCTGCCCGGCGTAGCCAGGATGGCGCCTTTTTTTCCATTTGTACACAGGATATGGCTGATTTACACACGGTTTTATGATGTTTTATGCGAACTCCACCAAAAGAGCATGGTGTTTGATTGAGTTTAAACATGTTGGAAGCCTCCATCAAGACAGAAGAGAAGAGAGAACAGACACAGATTGATGGGACCACCTGCCTGACCCTCCATTTTGTCCTCCACTGCAAGTCTTTCTCATGTCGCAGGACCGGAGAGCGTTCTCCGAAGAGGAGGAGGAGACTCTGACAAAGGCCGCCCTCCTGGAGGAGTGCGACGAAGACTGCGTCCGACGCGTTCGATATTTGGTGTGTTTGGGATCTCCGAGCCTCGCTTTCCGGGATGGATAGATGCTTAACATATAATAGATGCTTATCTGGATGGATAGATGCTTAACATAAATATATATATATATATAATTAGATAATCATTTATCATCATTCAATTCATCTTTAAAATTAAGACCTGGCATAGCAACCTTTCTTTTGTAAACATCTTATTAAAAAGGCAGGCGGTTTTCTGGTCGAGATTCACTGGATGTCCACGTCTTTTCCAGTCTTCGTGCTCCGCTGGAGGAGTGGTTGGAGGCGAATCGCGCCCAAGCCACTCAACGCGGCATCCTGGAGTTGCAGAAGCAGGCGGAGAACTGGGATCCGGAGAATTCTGGAGGGAAGTGAACTGGCCAGAAGAAACATCAGGCGAACACATCAGGGTTCAGGCACAGAATCCTGGAGACCCCAACCCTGCATGAGCTCCCTATGTGTTCATGCCCTGAATGGGCTCCGGCTGGGGCAGGAGTGGCTTTCGCGCGTTGTGAGACCAGAGTGAGCGATCTAAACGGACGATCGGCCCATTGGTTTTTGAGGCAAAGGAACAGCCTGATCGATTGTGGATGTTGAGCTCCCACAGCTTAGCATTGAAACTGTCAGGTGAGCTTGTAAATTGTTGGTTTGCAAACTTGTGGCTTCCCAAACAATATGGAGTCCGAACCACCAGAGCAGAGGACGCATGTGGGTGAAATTTGGCTGCGTCGTATGGACAAAGCAGCCGGTCATCTCACGGTGAGGCACAGTCGTGGGTCCCAGTGTCCCATTGTTTTTGCCGTGATTCAACCACACCATGACGACGTCTGGAGGGTCGTTAATTGAAACGTGTTATCAATTTGACATTGAGCGCCCAAGTTAGACGAGTCACTTTTGACATTGCTTCATCTTCGAGAGAGAGAGGGCGAGTTAGAAAGCATTTGCGCTTTTGCTTGGTGGATTTTTGTGGCGATGTTGGAGATGAATCAACAAAGACCTTCTTGCAGAAGAAATATCAAGCATGACCATGGAGATGCCATCTTCTCCCCCAAAACTCCAAGTTGATTAAATCAAGCTCGAATCCAATGGCATTGAGGTTGGAGAGGCCATGTGGGTCAAGGCCGAAGTTCCCCAAAACATCCCAAAGCCACTTGGCTTCACCTCCGGCATCGATGATGTCGAACCATCGAGGTTGGGCTGTGAAACAGACGGGGAACCGGCTGCCGACCCCTCTTTTTCAGGTGAAGACGGGGGACATTTGTGTGCTCTTCCGGAACAACCACTTCTGCACCGCCACACGGCCAAATGCGGAATGGGGCGTTTGGGCGCAGAAGGGTCAGACCGCCAGAACCTCGCGACACAGGGATTCCAAGTCGGTTCGTGCCCACAATGGTAAGCTGGAAGGGGTCCTCCACAAACCATGCGGGGTTCGGTTTCTCGGTTGTTCTCTATTCCATCATCCCTCGCCATAGGTCTTGCGGGGTTCCAGGACAATATATACAGAAAGCCAAAAGGTGGTGTTTCTGCCTCATACGTTGGATCGTGCACTTCCCCCCAAACGTGTCACATACGGAACCTTGAATGTATGGAAGACCCACGCAAACGCACTGAAGATGCACAGCATGTAACCGTGTAACCCTGCAGCGACAGGGCTCTTCTCGCCAGCTACCAAGGCCAGTTTGAGATATTCTTGGAGACACCCCAGCTGGCGATTCTCCCAGGGTTTCCAGTGGTTTCCACTTCAAATCCTATCACAGAAACCACTTTTTTACCGCTCTCCCACGGGTTCTCTCTCTAAGAAACGACTCCGTTGGCCAGTGCTTTTTCTCCAGCTTTCAACGACGCTGGCTCGCCTTTCCACCATGGAAGTCGGCCGAACTCGCGGTCAGGTGTACAAGCCTGGCCACAACTCACCCTGCCCTCACTGCTGCATGCTGCTCACCGACGAGTGCCACTCGGTTATATACGACGCGAGGCCGGCGACCCACGAAAGCAATGACACGCCGAGGATGCGGCCGCAGCTGTGGAGTTGGAAGGGGGCCAAAGACATGGAACACATGGGAAAACATCAAGGCATTCGACATTTCCACAGTGGGTACTGTATATATGAGACGAGCTGTTAACTTACTTTGTAATTACCTAGGCCTAGAACCCATATCACCTTGGTTTTGATAGGAAAAGACATGAAAAGACTAGAAAAGACTATTCTGTCTTGTTTTGACTCCAAACCAGGGGGTCACTCAGGTCACTCAGGTAGTGTATACCGCTGACCACACGAATCACTGAGAAGATCATAAGTTTCAGGGATCGAATCACACTTGACTTCGATTGAGGTGAACATGAAGGGCTTTCTCCCTGTGGATTGTCCTGTGGATCTCTTTCATCTGAGGCTTCTCAGACGAGTCCTCGCCAGTGTGGGAGATGCTCAGCTGATCTCACCGGATCTCACAGAGAGGTGATCTTGGGAGACCCCCATGGCCCTGGCTGGGTAATTACTGTAGATCTATGAGGGAGTACCCTGACGCCCCTTGATTTCGCCGGGGGAGAGAGGTCAGTATGAGGTAAGTGACCATAGGGCTGGGCTTTTTCTCCTGACACATTCCCGAACCTTTGAAGGGGCGTCGGCTGCGTGGGAGGTCTTCACATCCATTTTCTCACCTGGCCACAGGGCCGCGCACCCTGGGCCGCCCTGGGAGGACAAAACCAATTCACGGGGAAGAAGAAAAGAACTGCACACGTTCCTGGAAAAAAGAGGAGACCCCTGGAAGTTCGATGATTCCTCATGCTTCCTGTACAAACCAGAGGGTCTTTTTATTCTGCGTCTAGACTTTCAACCCGAATGGGTTTGATGTCCAGCATCTTTGGTGAGTGAGAAACAATAGCAGGCCGATATGGGACCTCCAACTTGTAAGTTCTTTGGATGATCTATTTGGAGCAATACTGAGAATGCTTCCCAACAAAAACACGGTTCTAAGCATTTGTTCCGACCAGGACCAGGTGGAATAGGATCATGCTTCCCAACCCTTATTTACTTTGTGTGATGACCAGTTTAGTCATTGAATTAATTTCACCATGCAGTGTGCCTGAAAAGAACACCTCCCAGACCACCTAGACAATTGTTGTACTTTTGGGCTTTTGGCCGCAAATCCACGCAAACAGCCGCACACACTGCACACACGGCAATTCGTGCCATTTGCATCAAACGTGCGGAAATATATAGAGTTTGTTTGCTTGTTGTAAGCCTGGCCTGGCATGAAGGGTCAATTGCTTATGATTAGTTTGGCTGAACTCTGGGGAGATGACGGCAGGGAAGCAGTCCGGAAAATAATGCAACTGACTTTTTTCCACTGACCCACTGACATTGTTGGATGGGCGCACTTGGACGTTTGGAAAAGACATGACAGCATATTGAAAGGAAACAAAAGCAGAATGGAAGAAACATGAAAGCAGAATATACGAGTTGAAAGCAACACACATCAACATGAAAGCGAGCAAAACAAATGAAAAGCAACAAGATGCAACAAGAAAGCAGAGTGAAAAAATCTGAAAGCACAAAAACAGCGGCAATTCATTGCTTTCATTCATTTTGAAGAGGAGATAACATATTATATCGCCCTCTCAAAGTCATTGAACTGAGCGGCTTGTTGTCGGTGAGCTTATTGGACAATATATCCCTAAAAAGAGAACCATTAGCATAAACAACACGCCCTCAGCAAAAATAGAAGAACTGCCCGCATAGAAAAAGGTCACGAAGTGAGCAAAAACCGAACTGCCAGACCTCCAGACTCCCTACAAAAAAGGGAACTATGCACATTAAGAAGAAGGAACTACTCCCCCAATACCTTTTGTGTAGGTGGAACTATAGGGACTCTAGAGCTGTGTTTATCGTTTCGTCGAAGGAAACCATGCAAAGAACCAATCAATCAAACAGGTGACATCCTAGGCAGCGGATGTAAACTGTCCAATCGCCAACAACCGCAGTCCCTCAAAGAAACCAAGCACCTGGTAGACACAGTTTGGAACATGTTCCTGTCACAAATGATCTTTGGTTTCATTGTTTGGTTTCAGTCTTTGGCTTCGTTTCTTTCGTATTCAGGTCTTCATATGTTGCAGTTGTTCTAGACCAGTTTTCGATCAGTTTGTTTCCTCCGACAGCAAAGAACACGTGGAGCTCATCGCTGGCGGCTAGTTGAGGGGATTCCAACCCTTTTGGGAGGGTTTTGGTATGTTTTGGTTAGACATGAAAACAATTACTTTCTTAAACGTCCTGTTTGTTTAAACAATGCACTAAATTGTCCACAATCTCCACCTGCACCTTACTTTTTGTCCATCTGAACAATCTTCACTCGAAAAATGTAGACTCCACAGACCTCGATCGACCTGGTCGAAGTTCACCGCATTCCCTCACTCCATGTATGATCATATGTGCCAATATAATCCTATATACACTAGCATCCTATATATATATATAACCTCTATATATGCCTCTATTGACCCCAGGTCAACCACCCCAACTGATCCGCCAATATGGCAGACGTGGAGTGTCTCCAACTGACCGAGGACCTTAGTCTTCGGCGAGGGCCAGTTCCTCGATGCGCAGTTCTGCAGCATGGAATCGGAGGCCGAGGAGAGCGGCCGTGTTCTCCACGAAACTGGTTGAGTACAGCTAAAGCTCAGATCGTTCGAGGTGTTGTTTCTGCCCCAACTGCTCGATTGCATGCGCAAGTTTTTTTGCAGTCCAGGTGACTTCTGCACTGGATGGATGGAATCGTTCACCCACCCGGTGCTGTGAATCGATGCTTGCGGCGCTTGTTGTTTGTCCTTCAACAAGAATGGTCAGTGGGCGGTGAGTCTGTGGGTGGTTCAATATGGTTCAATATATGTTTTTGACATTTCCTAGCGCGGCTTCTTTGTTGTTTTCATCATCATATCGCAAAGGATGCCTGTGGCAGGAGATTGGCAGCAGAACAAAACCAAACTCCTTCGGTGAACGTGATGAATCTCCGAATCTCCGCAGGTTCTGCCTTTGCTTCTCTTTTGGGGGCCTACCCACAGGTGTGAAGGAACCATTACCAAAATCATATGAACAATAGGAATAACAAAGCCATTGGGTGTGACTTCTAGGTGAGGTGACTTTGGGTGAAGCCACACCCTATTTCCCACTGTTTTCATCGAAGTGACTTTGGTGAAGCCTGTCAAGCCGCCTGTCGAGCCGCCTGTTTTCGCGGGGCGTGCGTTCTTCGAGGATGCGAAGAGCGCGTGGCCTCGCTTGGATAAGAGGAGAGATGCTCCAAGCGTGGCCTCCTGGTGTCAGAGACGGAAAGAAACACTTGTTCAGACGGACTCTCGGAGTGAGTCACATGGAGAGATCTAAGCTTCAAGCAACAAAGGTATGGGGTGGTCACCGGGTGGTTGTTGGTCATTCGGTGGTCATAGCTAAAAGGAACCAAAGAAAACAATCAGTTGCTACATCCAATTGCTGCAAGGGCTTCAGCATTTGTTTCAATCCTTCTCAGGAGTCATTTTGGACTCCGGAGGGCGCCCACCGCACCGATGGGCCTTCAGGAGGAAGAACACGGGGATCTACAACTGCAACTGCGGCAAGTACTTCAGTATCTTGGCTTACAAGGTAACTAATCAAAGAAGATCGCATACAAATCATGCTGCAAGACACAGTAAGTCAATAGATGGTTAATAGTAGCTGTAAGCCAAGTCGGGTCGTGGAACTTTGCCTCCAAAAATGAGTCAACATGTCTCCGGACTGTCCATGTCGTTCATCCCGTTGGGGGCCACACCAGCCTGTGGGCACGCACTCAGGTACGCTGAATGGGTTGCTGTGCCATCGCAAGGCCACAGGCCATTGAGAGATCCATTGCGGATGGAACGAGTTCCAGGGTAGGTTCAAGTTGCTATCAATGTAGTCAACTCACTCAACTCAATCCACTCAACCTTGTTTGTTGTTGCTATATAGAATTACCTACTGTTGAATGACAGGCACTTCTTGTCACAAAGAATCATGGAGCGTCCACCAGGCTGGGGTGTATCTTGCAGAAATGACTGACTTAAACTTAGTCGAGGTTATTTGGATGGTGCGAGAAACAACATGAAGAACAGACAACTGCAGCATATTACATGTATTATTCTGTTTTGGGGTGGTTTGGATTGATTCTTACCTAAAAACCTCATACCTGTTTGTTTGCACTTGGTGAAGTCTCTCATTTTTGGGATGACCCGAACATATTCTTGCAACCTTTCTTCCTTTCTACCTATATTATATGAGTTGATGCTAAGATATACGAGAAGCGAAAGTTCGCTCTTGTTTTGTAGGGAATTTGCTTTCAGGTGCTCCATGTTCCACCTCCTTGTTTACATTAGGGCCTGATTAGGTGATAACACTGTCTTTGCTTGCCAAGTAGGCTAAGCACAGGTGCCAGATGGTCTAAGCACTAGTTTCATGGTTCAAAGCGAGCCTGTTCATTGAAGATTTAAGGAACAGGAGGAACCGGTTGCCCGGCCAATGATATGGAAAAAACAACTCGAGGAACTCAGCCAATGGTGGCGCATCATGGCACCAAAAAAAACGGAACCTGAGTGACCTCATTTCTGCACCAACTACCTCAGAATACGGTCCAAATTCCCATCAAACCGGTGGTCCTGTCTTCACTCTAAGCACTTCAAGTCCCTCGGCACGCAACAGTCCCTCGCCTTGGGACTCCGACCTCGGCCACGTTCTCCGCGGACACGCGGCCGACTCTCCGACACCAGCGGCACCAGCGGACAAGACGTCCGGCCGTCAGCGTGCGAGTGCTGGCTGAGCAGTGAGAAAAGTCGCAGCACTTTGTGAACGAAAGGTGCTCAGGATGTTGTTTCTCCTCCTTGATTTGACCCAGGACGTTGTGAACGAAATGTTGTGCCGGAGTCCACTAGCTGGTTTCATGTTTGCTGGATTCGCACACATGCCACTTGCACCACCCCCCACGACTCTGCACATGGAGCCCAGAACTTGAAGCAGTTTCTGCCAGAGAACTCGTGATGGTTTCCAGGTGTCCAGTGTGAACTTGGTGGACGCAATGCGTTTTCACGTCAGCCGTGCTGGCACGTGCCAGGTATATCATCCGAGATGATGGCAGCCGAGTGGATTTGAGGCCGGGTTTTTCTCTTCCAGCGCTGACAGCTGGACGCCACGTGACAGCTGGACGTCTGACAACGGACCGCGTTTGTCCGTGCATCCTGACACCTGACAGATTGGTCCAGTGGGGTGTCCGAACGAAGCGGGTCCAATGAAGCATACATGACTATACTGTATATATATATATATACTCTTGCATGGATTTGGGGATGATGTCCTGGACTGAAAAGCTGATGAAGTGTCCTGGACTTTGCTTTTCATCATGTTGCTCACCTTGGCACACATCTCTTTCGGAAGAGAATTGAAGATGTTACTGGGCTCGTACGCGGTACGAGTAATCTTACATTTTTTGCCCCGTGATCAGCAGATGCAAGATGACATTGTGCCACTAAACTCAGCTGTTTCTTTCAATCTTGCCGACATGACTCAACCCAGCCTTTTCATGTAAAGCACAACTTCCTATCCATCATCGCAACCCTGGTACCGGGTAGAACAGCAGTGAACACCGGGTGGTCGAAGCACCGAAAGCGCGGTTGACAGGTGGGTGAACAAGGACTTACGCTCGCAGATCGAGCTTCAGCCCGGCTGCCCGGAGCCGGGGCGAAGCGGCGCTCTGCCCTGCGGAGCCCGGAGCACGGGACGGTGTGAACAGACCAATCCCTTGAAACAAAAGACGCCCTCACGGATTGAGATGTTCAGTGAAAATTCTATCAGAAGTTGTAAGTCCTTTTTTCAGTGGCTCTCAGATCTCGCTTTATGGCACTTTATGGCCTTTTATGGCTGTAAAGCATCGATTCTTGACATGTACACGGCCTCAGAAAGAATAAGGAATGGCTCATGGACAGAGCAATTGACCGGGCCAAGCCGGTACTGGCTGTCAAGTTGGGAAGACGTCCACGGCCGCCTTTCGCTTCTTCGATGAGTTATATAGTTCACTTCAATTTCATTTCAATGGAGTGGAGACATTGATCTCAGCAGCAAGCCCCAGTCGAACATGGAATCCAGACTTCCGCAGGAGCCCTGACATGCAGGACTGACATGCCGATGAAGATTCAACTCAGTAACTTCCTCGAAACTCTCCGTTTTGGGGACTCTGCGCGCCGCCCTGCCGGGCCCTCCCCGTTGGACCCTCTGGACCCGGCGGGCGGACCTGGAACGTTCCCACTGAGGTATGGTTGGCGCGTGGAGCGGCACATGGTCGATGGGGACTATGCCACATGGTTTGGACAGAAAGGAGTGACCAGGAGTAACCAAGATCAAGACTTGTGGAGGTCAAGACTTGTGGCTGCAAGAGTGTGGTTCTTTTCACCATGTGGTCGTAACCCGGTGGGTTTGTCCGAGGGTCTCGTTAACGACACGTCCGGACAGAGGTCTCGTTTCGTCTACCTCGTGAGGCAACCGTCGACTCGTGAGGCACCCGACTTGTGAGCCCGTTGACTCCTGTGCACTCCATTTGGAACATTTAAGACACAGATCTTAGCTTGCCTTGAACGGACCAGCATGAACACACCCCACACGCGGCGCCTGCATGCGCCTGCGGCCACCAGACTTGTTTTGTCTATGGTATTGGTCAAAAAATAATGTGAATGAAGAGTCTTGGCTGGCCTACTGTGACTGTGAGATACTGTGAGGATGTGACTGTGGCCCAAAACACAAGAACCCTTCAGACACTCAGACACATCAAAAAAGATGTAAAGTTGCACTCAAATAGATATGGAAAGCACAGAAACAATGCCACACATGGAACGGAATGCATAATTCTCAGCAATTTATTAATTACACCCCATTTTCTCAGACTTTTGAGGTCACTGTTATAGTCTTGGTTTTTAGCTCGGTCTTCCACCCTGAAAACGGGAGAATGAGCTGCATCCTGACCATTCCCATCGCATCCCATCGCGGTACGCCCGCTACGAACCCACGTGACGTGCCTTCGGCGTTCCACCGTGTTCCACCGTTTCGTGAAACGCAACTCCTTCTCGAAATTCCTAAAGGGGCAAGGTGTATTGCACAGTGAAATGCACCAATCACCCCAACGTTTGAATCTATATGTACACCCTGCAGGTCCAAAGACCCAGTAAATTCGGATCCTTTACATCACGGAGTGGCCAGTAAGATGAGGTCTTTGACCTGTTAGGGACATGTTGGTTCCTCCCCCCCCCAAAAAAGGAACGTCAAACCAACCCGAGCAAGCAGATGATCCCAACTGCTTTGTTCTGCTCAGTTCTACGGTGTATCAACGACAACACCGGTGCACCGAGGTGATCTTCAATCGACAGCCTTCGCTGCACAAGATGAGCATGATGGGACACCGAGCCAAGGTGCGAGCCCAACACGGGTGCGAAGCAACCGGGCGCCTTGCATGGAGGGTGAGCCCCCCACAAATGGCTGGATGCCCCACAAACATCACTACACAATTCTGTGTTTTTTGTTGAGGTATCTTGGGTTGAGCGTGGGAGTGGGTGTGGCGAATTCATGGTGGCCGTGACAGTTGTTGCTGTTGCGGAGGTGGGGACATGTAGAGACAGATTCCATCAGATTCCCAATGTAATGGTCACATGAAAGCCTGGATCTTTTGGTGGACATGGAATACCAATCCAGGTAAGTAGCTGAACTCTTTTCACTATTTTCACTTAAGTCACAGTTTGTTTCTTTTTTTGCGTTTTGATGTTTTTGGTTTGTTCTCGGAAAGGTCAGCAAAAAGCAACCACAAGGCTCCAGCCTTTGTCTCTAGGAGGGGTCACCGGCAAAACTGTTTGTTGGGGGGGCGATCGAAAAACAAGGGCCTCCAGTTTTGAGTGTTACAGCTTGTGTTTGTACAATTTTGTACATTGTGTTGTTGTTGTTGTTGTTGTTGTCTTACCGTTCTACCGTTTTTGTGCTGTTGTTGCTTTAGTTGCTGTCCGAACCAAGGTCTACTGTTTGATCTTGAGATTTGCTTGTCGGGGTGTTACGATCCGGTGAGAGGCTTGACACAGAGACTGCAGGAGTCTGATACTCTTAACGAAATGACTCCTGCAAGTCATGAAAGATCCTCCAGTTGTTCTTCAGTGTTTCGGAATGGCAGACCATGCCCCCAGTGAGTAGGTCACGTTGAAAAAGATCGGAAATGGGAGAGCATCAGCTCTGACGGGTTTGGCATCAACGTGTTGAACCAGGTGATGCCCTTTTCCACCTTGAGATTCAACTTGGCCCCGGGGGCTCAGATGGGATCCGGAGGGATCCGGGCGGTGACGTCGGACGGCTCCTCACGGTGAATGAATTTTTGGGGGCTCCGATGAGACCGTTAGATGGACTGGTCGATCCTCTAGTGACCGTGAGGATTTGGGAGACTCATGTTTTTCAAACATAAGATTATCCAATATATTTATATATATATATATCTATTAGAAACATTACTGATCTAAAGGCCACTGATAGAGAGACTAGTCTATTCTTGTTGATATATATATATATATGTGAATTTGTTGGCATGGCACAGCAACAACAGGCAACAAGAACCATGCTGTCTATGACATGTAGAGTTGGAGTTAAATGTGTCTTTCTGTGTGCCCTTGGTTAACTCCCTATCCAACTACTATGGAAGTGGAACACAATTTGTCCCTTGTTTCAAGGCAGCTGTCTTTCAAGGGTCCCTGCAACCAAACCATCATCATCATCATCATCATCATCATCATCATCATCATCATCATCATCATCATCATCATC